AGAAAGGCTGGCTCGCCTCCAATCAGTCAGTGAACTGTTGTCGGCTCGCTCACCGGTCATTGGCAAAACATGTGTTATTTCTCCGGTACCCTTTGGTATCTGCTTCACTCCAAGCTAGAAAAATTCGAGCTGCATCTGGTTTCTCCTTCAAAGTAAATCACCTTCACCATTGGAAGGTAAAACAAATGCTTTGGAGGTTTTGAAGCCCCATTGGGGGATTCGACAAGCTTGTCCAATCCCTGGCTGTAAAAACCACCCTTTGGCGCGTGAGTGAGATTTCCAGCCCAGAGCTGAGTTCCTCCGAAGAGGATAAAACAGCCATCTTCCTTGTTTGAATTAGGAAGTCAGAGTGTGTCCAAAGCTATCCGGGTAAGTAATAAGAACAGACAAACTTTGGTTCCGCCCAGAAAAATTCAAGCTGTATCCAGTTTCTCCTTCAAAATAAAATCATCTTCCCATTGGAAGGTAAACACAAATGCTTGGAGGCTTGGGTGGGTAGGGACACCGACAGGCTTGTTGTCTCCCTGGCTGTAAAATCCACCCTAATTGGCTCGTGGGATTGGATCTACAGCCCCAAACTGAGACCCTCCGAAGAGAATCCACAGCCGTCTTCCTTGTTTGAATGAGGAAGTCAGAGTGTGCTCAAGGCCGTCCGGGTTAGTAATAAGAACGGACAAACTTTGGTTCCGCCCTCAGGCTTAGAGATGAGTCAGAGAAAGAAAGATAAAGATTTCGCCAGGCGCCAGTCAAGGTTAACTGGTTGAGCCAACAAACACATGATAAACTCTTTTTAGCTTCCTTCTGATAGACTCTAAAAGAAATCACTGAAAAACATTTTATGCTGATTAACTGTAACATTTCTGTTTATAATCAACTCTGAACCATTCTGTTAGTCCAGATAAATGAAAGATTTTCTTAGGAAAAATCCACACTTATATTTGAAAATCCTTGTAGCTCCTCCCTCAGTTTACCCACCAGGACACCGATAGGTCTTGGAGAGGAGCCAAGTCTCCCTCTTGGTTTTGGGGCAAAAAACCAGTCTTACAGCCACCTGGGGTGGCCTGTGTGGCTGAATCAGATGCGTCTCCTCCAGGAGACGGGGTTGGGAGGATTTAAGCTCGGTCTCTAGCTGCCTTCTATCCGGTGGTCGCTCCCTTCGTTAACCCCGGCCTCTGGATCAGCGCAGTACCTCAGAACGCCTCCAGCAGCCAGTCACCACTGTTCATGGCAGCCCCTCCCGGGGTGGATCAGCACTTCTTGTAATGATGAGATAATGTTTAGTAATCTTTTCCTGTTGAATCAATGAATCAAATCAAATCAAGCTGTGTCTCCCTTCTTTATTGGACGAGAGAACGGGAGGAAAAGTTCTGTCTACTGGAAATCGCTGGATGAAAATCAGCAGACGTGCAGTCAGGTCAGTTTTTCACAATCAGAAGAAGATGATCAGATTAAGTGTTTACATGCACGCTGTTCAGATTATCAATCGGCATAAACCACATCTCTCATTCTGATTACAAATTCATTTGGATCGAGCTGAATCGGGTCAGAATAATCCGAATGGGGTGTTTACATAATGCATTTTTATTCCGAATGGCTGTTCAATCTGATTACTTATGTCCATGTAAACGTAGCTGCTGATTAATTTAACTTTTATCAATATGCCATATATTGCATGTGACTGACTATTCTGTATACCAGGGGTTCTTAACCTTTTTGACCTCGGGGCCCAATTTGTTGAACATAAAGTGACACGAGGCCCAGTCAGACATTACTAATGTATGGATCAAAATGATAATTATTATAAATCTTGGTTTAATTTTTTATTGTATTTACATCAAAACTAAACTATCATAACTAACATAACTAAAATAAATACACTCATAGTTTAAAAG